GATATTACTTGTTATATATTGATAGCGTGGAAAAGCATCTCTTCTCAGGCGAATGAAAACAGTGCGAGTCGGAATAGTGATAAGTCGACGTGGGTAGAAGCCGGGGTGAAAATGAAAAATCGTCGGCGCCGTCGAGCCAAAAGTAACCACCTACTAGCTCTTGACTACAGATAAGAGAAAATAACGAGGCCGACAGACACGCGGAAGAGAACTAATTCGTCGCATATTTCACGCACGTCCGCCTCGCGGTCGCTTCGGAGAATAAAGGGATTAATCGCGGCTCTGTCCTTCCTTCTTGTTTATTTTTTTGTTTTCGTGCATATTTATTTGCTTTTATGTATTTCTGAAAATATTGCCGGAAGACAGAAATTCTATATGTATATATATGGCAATCTATTAGCATAAACTTCCGCGAGATCTTTGACGACTCTTGAAAACTTTTGCATTTGAAATCGAATTAAAATATGGATTAAAACGATTTAATATGACTAAAAGGAAATTTTATTTATATTTTCATAAAAAGTTGTCTAAATATTAAGGAAAATACGAAAGAACGGAAAGATGAAAGTATAAATATCTCGTATCAAATAAATTTATCATGAATTTTATGTGGACCATTGGAATAGTTGGAATTATTTATAAAAATACAATGGTAAACGCAAATATTTACCGGCTTACCTTTTCACCGCTGTCACTAGGTAGATAAAATGTGAGAACCGTGAGAAACGATATCCCCATGCAGGGGATGATAATGTTCACTGTGTAGAAGAGGGTTTTCCTCCTCATTGTGATGTTGAACGTGATGTCCAAGTAGGGCTCGTCGCAGCAAGTGTAAAACTTCTCGTTCCTGCGAGAAGAAAAGACGCAAGAGACATTGCGGTTAATCGTCGGATCGATGAAGTAGACCAGTAGAGGGATGCGGTAGAATTACGGCGCGATGAAGTAAAAAGAAAAAAAATTCACCCTAAGAATGTAAAAATTCCGCTATTCAGGGCAGCGAGGCGTTTGTACCCGACAATAAGTACGTTTTAAGTAAGTACGGTCGGCGGTGAGCGAGACTTATGAGAAAAGTTTCGCGGGGTCGTATAACTCCGAAGATCTCTCTAAGTCGGTAACTCGGTTCAGACTACTTCCCTATGTCCCCGATTCTGTCCCCTCTTTTCAGGCCGATGGTCTCTCAAACTGCTTGGTCTTGGTAATGTCTCGTGTCGTGAATAAATTTGAATTACATTTATTTCTATAAACATCCAATTTTTTACACGAAATTAAAGCGCGCCCTAAACATGTACGAAAATCGCGAGTTGGACGATTTTTTTTGTAAAGACTGACCTAAATTTCGCCATCCCTGCTATTCTCGAGAGTCAGCGTCCTGATTAAGTTTCTCCACTCTCGTTACGCCAGAATTTCTCGCGAAGATTCCCGTTCCCCGCTTTCGCTTTACGCGACGAATAGAGGCGTTTTACATCGAACAAAGCATTGGTACTTTTGATATCCGAATAATATGAAAAGTACAATATCAACGTTTAAACGTTACAGCGTCAATAAAAATCGTGAACATCTTTAGTGGCGAGTCACTCTTTAGTGGCAAGTGTCTGTAAAAACATGCATTTTGCTACTATGGCAGCTTCCGGAAGCAGAACTCGATTCTCGTGTGGCCACCACGGCACGTCGAATATCGGGAATCGAATCGTGCCCGGAAGCAGCCGCTCGTTTATGCCAGGCGAGCATATTGAATGTGAAGAAGCGTTTCATAAGAAGAGAAAAAGGGAACCTCTCCCATGGCTTTGAGATTACGTTGCCTCCTTGCTATATTTGAGCATCTCAAAGATTAGATTGAGATTTATCCAAAGAAGATAGATATGCTTCATAGTAAATTTCACGTAATTATTCGAATTTTAATACACAAGACGATAAGTTGTAATCGCGAGGATGTATTCAATTCATATATAATCTCAAATTTGAAATCTTAAATTTGCGACTTTTATCAAGTATCACATAAACGGATGCGAAATAAAATTCCGATCGGATTTTTGTAACGATATATACGAGAGAATTGTTACATGATATGCGCTAGAGTAAAAAGCGCACAGCGATGTACCAACACTCTATCATATTTGAGAATCAAATAAAGTGACGTGCAGGAGATACTTACCGAACTGCAGGCACTTCTAAAATATCCCATTCTACCGACATGTAGAATTCGGACAGATCAACCCCCACGTCCACCACGTTGCTTCCCGATTTTTCATCCATGTGTCTTAGATCGACCTATGTGACAGAAAAAGCGGCTGGCATTAAGCTTGCAGGCGAGTAGAAATCTCGCCGTCGTTGAAACGTTCGAACTCCATGCCCACGTAATTCATCTCTGACGTACGAGCGTGCAGTCGGTGGACTACGAAGTTATTTGCAACGTCAAAACATATAAATAGGAATAGAAATAAGGAATAAGAAAAATTTGTTTACGTATTTTTCTCAAACCTCGAGAGGAATTTTGTACTAGTATATTTATACATGAGTATACTTATGGCGAACGCTTCGGCCCACAACTGCACACTCGCGATTAACTGCTTAATTACGAACAATAATAATTCTGAAATAAACTTTCAGTGCATGTCTTGAGATGCACTTGGTGTTCGCAGAAGCGCAGAGGGAGCTAACTGTCAAGGAATTAAAAAGGAATTAAAACGGAGCGTCGACTGTGGTGGTCCGCAACAACAGGACACTCTAGAGCAGCAACTAGATCAGCGGAATATCGCCTTTATATACATATTGATATCTATATGTGCACCACATTGCAGAGTAAAAGGAACACGCAGTCAAAGAAAGAAACCAGACTAGCGCACTCGATTCGGTTTCACTCACTTAATTCGGGGCTAAGAGCAGCTATGCGCCTAACGCTAATGAGAAGTTCCATTCGGCCGCGACTTTTCGTTGATGTGAAAGATCTCTTAAAATCATCGATCAACTTTTTGATCTGCCGTACAAGCTTTGTGTAGCTTTCCAAATAAATCGAAGAAATTCCTAACCCAGAGGGAAAATTAACTTTCTTAACTTTGAGAAAATATCCTTCCCAATTTACATTAACATCATTATTATCTTCTTCCGCGAGCTCATGAGCTTATTTCTAAACAAAACTGTTTCTTCATGCAACCTGTTATTTTCTATTTCTGAGTTAGAAGTCAACATCGGTTGTTTCGGATCTTGCAAAATTTATATTTTGTCAAATTAAATCACTTCAGAGAAGATAAGTGCATACAATGTTGTTACTCGCTGCACAATTTGTACCGAATAAACTTTCACAAGGCGATACACTTGGCGATTTACGAAGTTTACCGTGCGTTACGATTATGACAACAACCATTGTCCGACTTCTCTGATGCAGAAATAGTTTGCCTCATCGAGGCATAATTCCGCCGTTAAGTTCCTAACATTGTCTTCTGTGAAAGCCATTCGAGCGACATGCAGCAAGATTAAAGCCGGCGGCGGCTTTAATGTTACGTAAGTGTCTAACCATTGGCCCGGGCGATCGCTCGCTGCAGTGGTATTACCGTGAAATACGTCGGGCAGACGCATCTCCGGTGATTCGAGTAACGGCGCACTTGCGGACGATACTTTGTCACTGCTGCGGGGCGAGATTAAAGCCGGCAAACAATTTCGATGCAGCGCCCGTGGTCGCGGTTTCGAAGAATGCAATCGCCCCGAATTGCCTCGAAATCTGACGAGCCACTCGGCTTTTGTAACGGCGGAGCGATATAAATCACGTATGTCTATTTCGCCGAAAGCGCAGTTTTGTTTTCACGAATTTTTTTTCCGCGTGGAGAGCGCTTGTCTTTAAAAATAACGCTTCGCGTAGCTTCGATGAGAGCGGCTGTAATAGAAACTACTCGCAAACACTCTCACATCTTTGCCCCCCCGCTCTCGTTCTTTGTCGATTTATGAAATTACGAAATACACGCCTCACAAAAACTCGAGTAATGTGATTTACTACGACCCACTTCTCCGACTTGAAAATCTAATAATTGTCCCTTCCGATAAGAAGTTCCCGGGATCCCGGGATTAAATTCGATCATCGTGAAATTAGAACAAAATACCGTATAAGTTTTCGATCGAAAATTAACAACTAGTAACTAAAAACAATTTTATCTCGCTGTCACAGACAACGAATTCAAAGACTTTGAAACGTAATTATAAAATTGTACCGCTTGAAATTCTATTAAAACGAGAATTATAACTGGAGAACGCGGACACTTCGCACCTGCTATATAGAATAACATTTCAATTAGGTTCACGCGAAATCGAGATGTTGCGGATGGAATTAATTAAAGGCGGCGCGGTTACGGGGCACCGCACCATCTGATCTTGGCGAACTTCGCTAAAGATCCTTTGAAGTGTAGACAGGCTGCCACATTAATCTCGCGGGAAACCCGGACGGAAACGGAATTTAAAAAATATGCGTTATCAGTCGAAGCACGTCGCGCAATCCTTTTTCTCTAAAAATTGCGTTATCTTGCACGTCTCGTAATCGTTACGTGTGATTCACCCG